AGGCTATAAAGTTTCACTTGCACTTGACTAAAATAGATCTTCCAGAAAGGCATCCAGTCTTGATCTGAAGACATCAAGAGATGGAGAATCCACCATTGGCCTGTGTTTCCTGTGGCACAAGGGGCTCAGATTAGAAACTGAAAGTCTGAGGCACCCACACTTAGTCAACACTTCTGAAAATTTTAGCTACAATAAATCATGAAATTCTAGAGCAAGTCCTACCCAGAAACACTCATGAAACCCCACTGATGTCAGGGTGTGTCTTCACTTCAAAAAAGGTAGTTTTTTTTAACCACAGGATAACTAACATGTGTGACTTATCCCTTTCTAAAATCCTAGTGGAGACAATACATTGTAGTTTTTACTGTAAGGTAACTAGGGGAAGTTAACACTAGACCCCTGACTACAGTTCACCTCACCCAGTTTACTTCATGGTACAACTATAGAGCCTAGGATTTTAGATCGCTCACACACGTTAGTTCACCTTTTGGGGGCAAAGCCTCAGAGGAATTGCCGAGGTGTAAATGAGAGCAGAAAAAAAGTTACTAACCTTTCATAACTGTTGTTCTTCGAGACGTATTGCACATTGCCACTCCACTCAGTGTGCATGTGCTCCGTGCACAGTTGGCTGGACATTTTTTCCCTCACTGGTACCTGTGGGGGCAGCTCAAACACATTCTGCTGCCATGCGATGGTGGGGATGGTATAAAGGGCCCAGTTGACCCTTGACCCCCTCAGTTCTTCTTTCTGGAAACTCCAGTGCGGAGGGGTGGGGCGGGGGTCATGGAATGGACATGTGCAACACATTTCGCAGAACAACAATTATGAAAGGTTAGTAACCGTTGTTGCTTCTTCAAGTGATTGCGCGTGTGCATTCCACTCTTGGTGACTGCCAAGCAGTTAAATAGGTAGAGGAATCAGAGTTCGTGGTCACAAAGACAGCAATACAGCTCAACCAAATTTGGCATCATCTCTTGAATACTGAATGACGGCGCAATGGGAGGAGAAAGTGTGCACAGATGACCAGGCTGCTGCTTTGCTAACGTCCAGGATACAGATCTGCCCTAGGAATGCTGTTGAGGATGTTTGGTATCTTGCAGAGTGGGCAGTCAGCTTGTCTGGAGGAGAGACTCCTGCCAGATCATAATACATGTGGATACAAGAAGTTATCCAAAATGAAATTCTCTGTGTGGAGATTGAAAGACCTTTCAATTCTGTCCACTATTGCCACGAACAGTTCGGTGGGATGCCAAAATGGTTTGGTCCTGACTATGTAGAATGCCAGTGCTTGTCTTACGCCCAATGTATATACCTGTTGCTCCTTCTGTCGTAAGTGCAGGACTCTGCACTTGTCCTTATTGAACCTCATCAGATTTCTTTTGGCCCCATCCTCCAATTTGTCTAGGTCACTGTGGATCCTATTCCTACCCTCCAGCTTATCTACCTCTGCCCACAGCTTAGTGTCATCTGTGAACTTGCTGAGGGTTCAAATCCATCCCATCATCCAGATCATTAATGAAGATGTTGAACAAAACCGGCCCCAGGACAGACCCGTGGGGCACTCCGCTTGATACCGGCTGCCAACTAGACATCAAGCCGTTGATCGCTACCCGTTGAGCCCGACAATCTAGCCAGCTTTCTATCCACCTTATAGTCCATTCATCCAATCCATACTTTTTTAACTTGCTAGTGAGAATACTGTGGGAGACCATATCAAAAGCTTTAGTAAATTCAAGATATCTCACGTCCACTGCTTTCCCCATATCCACAGAGCCAGTTATCTCATCATAGAAGGCAATCAGGTTGGTCATAGAAGGCAATCAGGTAATCGCTCTTCTGCTTTTATTCATTATCTGAACCACCTTGCCAATGACAATTTTGCAAGACCCAGACTTGATGCATGCCCTTATAAATTGTTTATAACTTCTTATATTATTTTAAAAGATTGTTTGCATTTAGTTTTGTTTTTTAAAACTTTAACCTTAAATATCATAGAGACAAAATCTGATTGAAGACAAATGATTAAGAAGGAAATGACTAAAGCAGACAAGCATTTTTCCAAAGCAATTTTCCCAGCCTTCATTAAGGAAATCTGGGACTTCCAATGTTGACGCTGCACTGGTGTAGAAGAAAATTTGCAGTGGAATGATTTACTCTGGTAATTCGCTGGGACTAAGCTATACAAATGCAACACGTCTACATTAGAGCTCATCAGTGATCTCATTACATGTGCAGATGTGTCATTTCCTCTCCTCCCCTCCTCCAAGCCATGCTTGATAACCCCAGCCTAGGAAGCAAGGCACTGGTGGTGGAAATGGAAATGATGCATTCAGAAGATGCCATTTCTTGTTAAATATTGAGGTGACATCTCAAAGGTTGTGCTGATGGAGCTTGACCTAGGAGTTCGAATTCACATCTGACAGGGACTGAATTAAATGGCCAGTAACGCACTGCAGTATTGGGTTTTCAACGTGCTGCCTTTTTTTTTCAGAAAAAGCAGAAAAGATCTAATGTTTAATGGCCCCATTCATATCTGGGGATTTTGCAGCATGGAGGAACCTCATCGTTAAGTAATTGGCAAAAGTTACGCTCACAGCTCTGACTATTTGTTAGCAGGATTCATGCACGTAATTCCCTAAAAAAAAAAACCTGAAAATTCTTTACTCTCACTCTGTTGAACTTCAGCTTTTCAAAGAGGTGATCATATCCATTGGGTAAATCCTTTAGAGCAGTGGGTGATACCCATGTCTAGTACTTTCCAAAATAAACATATTCCTGGGTTCGTTACTGATTTATAGCCATTTGGGTTGATCTTGTGGTTTGAACTTGATGCCTATTTTAGAAATACTTTCACAGCTTTGCAGAAATTAGCTGCAGCAGATTTTTTTCGGAATTTGCCAAGTAAAACAGCAAAGCGGTCTGTTTTTCCAGAACCCGAATTATAAACTGTACACACTGAGGTCAAACAGCAGGGGATTTTGCTTAAGGAATGTTCTTATACTCCTTCCCCTCAGTTATTGTATTTGGCAGAAAAATATCTGAGTAAGATTTTACTTGAATATCTCTCCTGAAGTCAGCATTTTTACTCTAGGAATTGCAAACATCAAAGGATCAGCGAATTATATGTTGTGTGAGTGTCTTCTTCAAGTAATCTGAAGGCTGATAGGGATTTTTTTAAAAAACATTCTTGGTCAATATTTGGGTGAAAAGTGTTTAACAAAAATGTGAAAAACAAAAACAAACACTTAAAGTTTTCTATGGGCAGTCAGGCCCTCAGTTACATGAATCTCAAGTTATAGTCATTCACACTAGCAGTAATGCAAGGAACTTTCTCTCTCTCCATTATCATTCTGATTCAAATATCTTTGCTCATTCTGAATAGCGGCCTGCTACAAGCGTAGATTCACCAAATTCAATAGGAATACTGTGGAGTAAGGTACTCCTCAGTTAATACCGGCAGAATTTAGCCCTATATAAGACTGCATCTAATGCACTGACAGAAGAGTCTGGTTCTCCATTCCACCTTAATCCACAGCTTTATCTCCATTAACAATTTCATTATACCAACACCATCTGTTAGTCTTAAAGGTGCCACAGGACTCTCTGTTGCATTATACCAACAGTGGTTTTTGACTGTTTTGCAAAGGGCTTCGGTTTATGAACCAGATCCCCAGATCCAAACTATCCCCATCTTTGAGGTGTTCAAAATGCCAATGCAAAACTTTCCATCTTTATTTCATCATTGGCTTTCAGATCACTGGAAGGTTTGTGCACGTAGTTTATAAGAAATCAGTTTTAATAGCTCCAAGATGTTGAGGAACTAAGACACACATAGGTGGTATGCACGTTGCTACTCTGAAAAAAGGATGTAGGTGGACCAACCCAGATTTCCTGACATGACCTCAGTGGGAATGCTGCATATCATGGCCACTTGGGACTTCACGGGGACAGCAGGGATAGAACCCAAACTCTTCTTTTGGTTAGTGGAACAGTAGAAATATGCTGTTCTTTGTGTGCAAATAGTCACAGGTTGAATCCACCTCGTCTGTTACAGAGAAGATGAATGTTCTCGTACCTTGACATTTGGTGAGCAAGCGTGGCCTAGTAGATAGAACACTGAACTGGGACCCAGGTGCCCTGGGTGCTATTCCTGGGGCTACCACTGGCCTGCTGGTTGACTTTGTCACTTCACTTCTCTGTACCTCAGTTTCCCTAGCTGGGGATAACAATACTCACCTCCTTTGTAAAGTGCTTTGAGGTCTACTGATGAAAAGTGCTATACAAGAACTCAACATCATCATCATCTTGCAAGAAACCTCTACCATTTGAGCTACGACAGCAGAGGTACTGAACTAGGGGTGCTGCTGCACCCCCTGGCTTGAAGTGGTTTCCATTATATACAGGGTTTACAGCTTGGTTCAATGGCTCTCAGCACCCCCACGATACACGTTGTTCCAGCACCCCCTGTAAGACAGAATTTGCTAGCTTACAAGACCTCTGGCTGACAGTTGAGCAGTTCTGATTCCATCCAGTAGAGGGGAGGGGCACATACCCTCACTAAGGTAGTGCGCTAAAATACTAATTTTTGGAACCCTCACCATGTTGCACAAGCTAAATGTAAGGCCTAAAACCAGCTGACAGGGTCACTTTAATAATCAGAGACAGGAGAATTCTTGCACTGCCCGTAACTCTGAGGGTATGTTATGTCCTTGGCAATACTTAGTTAACTAGCTCCCATTTTGCTCCCCAGGCACTACCAAAACTAGCCATTGCAGGTATTTTATAGCAGCACATTCTTACTCATTTTCCTTTCTACAGGATACTCCATGCTGCAGAGCAAAGAGGCCATTCCTGTAGCAGCAATAAGCCTGCTCCCCCCTCTGCTCGTGGCTGTCATGATAACGGTGATATTTTACCTCTGCCGCACCCAGAAGCAGAAAAAGAGAGCCAAGGACTGGGGCCAGAAGCACCCACAGCACCAGGCTTTGCCCGAGCCAGGAAAAGCTGCTGAGGACGATGAGAAATTATCTGTGATGACAGACGACAATCACTCCAGCATGATCTTCACCTGCGCCAACAGCATCAACCATAACACCGAGCTGTTGCCAATTGAGCTGGATGAGATAGTGGGGAAAGGCCAGTTTGCCAAGGTCTGGAGGGCCAAGCTGAACCACACCACTTCGGGGCAATACGAGACAGTAGCTGTTAAGATTTTCCCGTGCGAGGAATATTCCTCATGGAAAAATGAAAGCCAGATCTTTACAGAGGCCAGCCTCAAGCATGAGAGCGTCCTTCAATTCCTTACAGCAGAGGACAGGGGGTCTGGGCCCCGGAAGGAATACTGGCTCATCACTGCCTACCATAGAAGGGGCAACCTGAAGGACTATCTGTCCCGACACATTCTGAGCTGGATAGACTTACAAAAAATGGCTGGCTCCCTGGTGGACGGCGTGGCCCACCTGCACAGCGACTACACTGCCTGTGGCAGGCCAAAGATCCCAATCGCTCACCGGGATATCAAAAGCACCAACATCCTGGTGAAGAGCGATTGGGAGTGCGTGATTTGTGATTTTGGCATTGCTCTAAAGCTAGACCCTTCCTTAACAGCGGATGACTTTGCTAACAGCGGGCAGGTGAGTGAAGCCAAAGCTGGGTTATTGACTTAACTTTACAGAAATTCTTGGCGTCACTTAACAATACATCCCAAGTATGCTGTAAGCTGAAAACCACATGCTGCCAAATGCAAGAAGGCCATGGTGGAAATGAGAAGGGGTGTGTGGGGAAAGGGGGAAGTCTGGAGAACTTTATGAATTTGCCCACATGCCACTTAGATTTAAAGCGGAAATCTAACAAACTAGAGTTGCCCATCTGATAAATGTGCTCAGTATTGGACTGGGATGTGCTTAGGCACACCTGCAAACCATGACGCTATCTTTAAAATTACACACAAACCCAGTACAGTCACTGATCTATTTCAGGCCTAAGGAGGGAGTTTAGACATTTCAGTGCATAGTAATGTTTAATGTTGACGATAAAGCAAATAAACAATCTACTGTAGCTTTTCTAAAAGAGCTGGTGCAGGAGTCTACACTGGGGGGGGGGAAATCGATCTAAGATACGCAACTTCAGCTACGAGAATAGCATAGCTGAAGTCGACGTATCTTAGATTGACTTAGAATCACTTACTTCGCGTCCTTGCGGCGCGGGATCGACGGCCACCGCTCCCCCGTCGACTCCACTTCCGCCTCTCGCCGTGGTGGAGTTTCAGAGTCGATGGCAGAGGGATCGGGGATCGATTTATCATATCTACACTAGACGTGATAAATCGATCCCCGATAGATCGATTGCTACCCGCCGATCCGGCGGGTAGTGTAGACATGGAGTGAAACTCAGATACCATGGCGATGGGGCCCACCTGCAGAGTCATTAGGCAGACAGTGCATGGTCATTGAACTCCCTGTGGCTGCTCACAATGAAGCTGAACAGGAGGAAGGGAGGATGGGAAACCATCTTACATACTCCTAGTGCTTGGCAGTTGGTGTTAGTTTGCTCCTGAGCAAGAACAATCAGGCCATGAAGATATTTCAGTGTTTTCCACCTACTCACCTCAGTTGTAACGTGGCAGGTATTTACCATGCTGCAGCTGCTTGCAGATATATTTGCTAATCTCTGTTCTTTTTTTGGCTAGGTTGGCACTGCCAGGTACATGGCTCCTGAGGTTCTAGAGTCTAGAGTGAATCTGGAAGACCTGGAGTCCTTCAAACAAATGGACGTCTACTCCATGGCCTTGGTTTTATGGGAAATGGCCTCTAGGTGTGAGGTTGTAGGAGGTAGGAAAACTGCAACATAGTCCCATGTACACCCTTCCTTCTAGAACCAAAGGCCATGCTAGCTAGCCCCTGCATTTTTGTAAATTAACCACCCTTAGACGCAACAGTTTTCATGCTCTCTTCCCACCAAGCAACAATCAGTCCATTACATCTTCCATTGATACAGTCCCTGCTGCTCATCTCACATACAGCTCGGTCTTGGATGCTCAGCAGCTCCTGAGGGGTGCCGAGCACCAATGGAAGTTAGATTCTCCAGCACCTGATAGGATCAGGCCTGCAATCTGCTAAGCATTCCCTGCTTGCTACATGCCTGCTGCAGAATGGTCTTCAGGCGTAGGTTCTCAGAAGCCATGATGGTGTGCAGGATAAACAAATACAGATGGAGAAAAGAGCAGGATCTCCACGTTGGTTCTCCATTTTTGGAGGCTGTTGTCCATGGTGATGGAATACTACAAAGGGGAGGGAATAGGAACAAGAGAAAAAAATGGGTCTAAAAAGAGCTCATGGGTGAATCCTAGCCCCACTGAAATCAATGGGAGTTTCCCTAATTGACTTCAGTGGAACCAGGATTTTATCCCACACCTCCAAGCAGGCCCTTAGCCAGCCAAGTAAACATACCTGCATGCACAGAGTGGAGCCCTGCAGGGGCACGTTCCTGATGCTCCTCCCCGTTTCTAAAAATGCAATGATTTAGACTAGAGACTGATGGGATCCTAGGGGCTCTCACCCACCAAAAATTCAAAGCACCCAGTGAAGAATTATTCATTTCAGAAGGCAGATTATAGGCATGTGAGTGCACACAGTAAGCTAGCATGGGAATTAACTAGCTCACCATAGGCAAGTTATGTTCTATTAAAATAATCAACAAACATGTATCAAAGCCACCAGGCCCTGAATATACACATTTCCCATCAGCCAGGCACCTAAAAACATTGCGAACTGCATTGTTAAAAACGCAAATATATATATATAAAGAACCAAAGCAGGCTCCCTGTTCCTTTAGACAATACCATGAAGTTCATCTACCTCCCATCCACAAGCAGTTCACAAGCTCTGACATCCTACCCAGTCATGCCCCCATAACATTCAATCAGTGTCTATTTCATTGTAATGTCCTGGCACTAATCTTTCTGTGCAATAATTTACTGTGATTCCTAAGTTTTCTCCTCTTCCTTCTCTGCCTGCCCCTTTCCTTCACGCTTTCACCTTTCTCCAGTTTTCCTTATGATTAACTCCCCCCCCCGCCTCCATCTAAATCTCCCCATTTGCCTGAGCCCTCTCTCCACACCATCCATCCCCCCACCTTCCTGCATTCTCTGAGCTCTCCTGGCCTCCTTTTATGCCCCCACAATTCACTCCAGTCCCCTTTCCCATGCCCTGCCCTGCCACCAGGGGACGGAATGGTTCCTGGAACAGAGGAGACTCACACATTGAAAGAGAGGACCATTGCTAGGATCTGGGATGGGGGAAAGCAATGGAGATCCTACCCTCCTCTTTCAGGAGCTCTGCTTTCAGCAATCCCCACACAAACCAAGGGGGTAGCAAGAAATGCCGTTCTTTGCCATGAACGCTGCCCGAGAGCCCTCCCCTCTGCTACACCAGAGAGCGAAAGAGGAAAAGGTTCACAAGGCTCACATAAAAGGAAAGATGTGCCCGACTTACAATTGCTGTGGCATCTAGAAACCTCATTCCATTCACCTTTTTAACTTGATACACACTGATATAAAAGCACCTCAAAAATCTGAAAATTAAAGGCTGGAGAGAGTCACTGTATATTAGACCCTTCCTGACAAAAGCTTAGTTGGCGCGAAGAATTTTGCACCATATCCCGAAGGGTGAGGATCTCAACTCCCCCATGCCACAAGAGGGAGCTATTTCCACAGCTCTAGGGTCTACATCCGGAACACTTCCCAGTCTCCTGCTCTCAAGAGGGCACATGTCCAGACTGCAAGTGGGTCTCACTCAGATCCCAAAGTCACTTTCTAAAAACATTTACCGAACCTATAATGAAATAGTGCCGTCACAAGGAGGCCAAAAGCAAAAAATCCTTTCCAATGGAAAGATTCTGAGATGTTTAAAAATGTTTTTTTTTATTAAGAATCGGTGTTTCCTCCCCCTGCCTTTTCATTTGCAACTCCAATGACGTTGTGTACAGCGGGGGCTGCCCTCATGTTTTTGAACATTTAAATTCAGTGGGGGAAGGGGTCATTTTAACTCAGTGATGAGCCTGAACCAAAACCCTGCTCCCTAACACTCCTGACCTTTTGAGGACATTAAGCTCTGCATCCAAACTTTGTGGCTCTAGACCTGTCTACAAAAATCATCCTCTTTCTAGTTCAATGCCATGGATAGCAGCCAGATCAGCAAACACACGCGTACCACCAAACCATGAAAGACATCCGGTAATGCTGCTTTGATTTATCACCTAGAGGTAAAAAGTTATGAGCTACCTTTTGGGTCGAAAGTCCAGGAGCAACCCTGTGTGGATACCATGAGAGACATTGTGCTGCACGGCAGAGGGCGCCCAGAGATACCCTGCAACTGGCTAGTGCATCAGGTAAATAGTAAATCAAAGAAAAGACTATAGCAACCCAAGACATCTATTCATTGTCCTGATTTGCAATGGACATGATTATCCTTGAATGACAGTATCAATACATCTATGATCCAAATCACCTGAATCACAAAGACACTGGACGAAAGGGGGGGGGGGGAGTTCGTAATTGCCTAGGTGACTTAGGAGCTCCTAAATCATGGAAGCACTTTTGAAAAATCCCACCCTTATTCTGCAACTTAGCTCATTTGAGAGATAGACTCGATGTTAGGAGCCAAAACCTGTAGCTTGGTGCAAGTCACCTGTACACACTGTGCAATTGCTCACTTAATTCACAGGGTATTGGTTTCGGTTTCCTAAATGGAGGTCCTCTAAACTCACCAAAAGTTTTCAAGATGGCCACACACACAACACTTGTAGAATAAAATCTGAGTCCTCCATTTGCTACATTTTGCATGAGCCTCTCGGTAACAAAACACTATTTGTATAAACGCTCGTAGGAATCGAAAGAACCAGGCAGTAAACAGTGTCAATATGAATCTGTGGTTTCTAGCTGGAAGAAAGTTTGCGAGCACATTTTTGGCAATGTTCACTCAGCTGTTATAACTTGCATTTGAAGGCAGTTATTAGCCCTCAAATCTCACAACTATGTTCTTTAAATTTTTGAACATAGGCTTCAGATCTGCACCCTACCCGCTTTTAGGTAAAATTTGGAACTGCAGATAAAATATGCACCTACTTGAGGCTATGCCAAGCTAGATTTCAAAGGCCAAGCTCTACCTCGACTGATTTTTATTAAGCTGAAAAAGTGTTGTGTTTCTGATCATGATCCTTATCTTCCCCTGGCACATTAGAGTTAGTTCTCCTAAAATGCAGTGTGTGACAGCCATCTGCTGGGAGGAAAATAGAACATGTGTTTATTCATTCTACAACTAGTTCCCACTCCACTACCACCAAAGGTCCTTACTACTTAAAGGTACATTATCCGTTTGATCCTGAAAGACTGGCACAAATTACTCATTTTAATGGGACTTACACACAACCCTCCCACGAAGAAAAAATGAGAACGGACTCTAAGTTCAATGCACTGCTCAAAATGCCAGATCCATTTGTCCTGACCGTTTTAGGCTTAGATTGTCAAAGGCATCTACGTGAGTCACCCAGATCTGGTGCCTAACTCCCTTAGACTGTTGGAAATTACAACTTTAACATAAAGCTGTTAAAACAACCAGAGACACATTTACTACTCTATATTGTAAATATGGCATGACTCAAATGTAAAATCAGGTTGAATTTAAAAAAAAAAAAAAATCTAGTTGTGCCATTAGAAAAGCAAGAAGAAACTTTTTTCAACTTGCTTCTTGTCATCTTAACCTAGAAGTCATTTGTTTTAAAGGATCGAATTTATTTCTAAACTAACTTTTTAAAAAAGCAAACATGTTTATTGCCGGGTAAAATAAGACATTATTCGGGAGAGTGGTAGACAATCTACTGCTTAATCAATAAAAGTAGGACAGATGGCACAGCTGTGTTCTATCTGTGGAAACTTTATTAAAAGATTAGGTTGAAATTTGTTAAGTGAATCTAAATCTTTTCAATAAGGCAAATACATGAATTATTTTAGAAGGTACTGAAATGCAGTGTCTATCACTTTAAGTAGACAACTGTTCTCTAAGGGTATGTCTACACTACGGGATTAATCCGAATTTAGATAATTCGAATTTGGGAAACAGGTTGTATAAATTCGATTGTGCGCGGCCACACTAAGCACATTAATTCGGTTTTTAACCACATTAATTCGGTGGTGTGCGGCCACACTACCCCATTTATTTTAACCACATTAATTCGGTGGTGTGCGGCCACACTAACCCTAATTTGAATTAACAAAATCGATTTTGGCGCTACTCCGCTCGTCGAGGTGGAGTACAGAAATCGATTTAAAGCACCCTTTAATTCGAACTAAATGGCTCTGTAGTGTGGACGGGTGAAGGGTTAATTCGAATTAACGCTGCTAAATCCGAATTAATCCCGTAGTGTAGACCAGGCCTAACTTTTGTCATCCTAACGTATCTAGCATGTTCTTTAAATCGGAAGAGAGACTTATCTGAGATTTGTGTGAGGGGTCAGAAAAGGGTGTCAAGAGAGTATTGGAGAAATACTTCAAGATATAATATTTATCTTTAGCATTAGGATCCTGGAGGTTTTTTAGTGATATTTAAATTGTGAATGCACAGAATACACAAATCCACTGAAAACTATGAACATGTTTTATTTAGAAGAATTTCTCTTCCCAATAGTGTCTGTTGCAAATTTGACATGATGATGTAAAATGCAGCAGCACAAATTAGGAATTGTGGGGTGAAAGGAAGGCTAGACAACTTCTGTGCGGTCGTTAGCTCACAGAAAAAATCATCAGCCAGACAACTGCCATTTTATTTCTACACCTGACAGTTTTGGTCTCTCTTTAAAGCACTATAGGATAAAAAGTAATTGGCTGTACAGAGCGTTGGCTATTATAATGGAAAGACTAATGTGCTAGAGAGTGCACTGACAAGCCTGGTTGAAACTATTTCCTTTGGTGGTCAGGAAACAAACCTTTCATAGAATCATAGAATATCAGGGTTGGAAGGGACCTCAGGAGGTCATCTAGTTCAACCCCCTGCTCAAAGCAGGACCAAGCCCCAGACAGAGTTTTACCCCAGTTCCCTAAATAGCCCCCTCAAGGATTGAACTCACAACCCTGGGTTTAGTAGGCCAATGCTCAAACCACTGAGCTATGCCCCCCTGAAATGAAGCGACTTGACCAGGTGCACTCAGCAGACCAGTAGCAGAGCTGGGAATTGAACCCAGGTCTCCTGCATGCCAGTAAAGTGTTCTATCCACCAGGCCACAATCTTATACCAGGCCACAGTCTTTCACTTGTGTATCGATATGGTTCTTTGGCATGATTTCCTGGGGGAGAAAGCAGCAGTACAGCACACCAGATTTTAAAAAGGGAAAGTTTAGGGAAGATGAACTGTTCCAGTAAAGTCATTTCTTCTCTGCACAGAGAGGCATCGTGCTTGGGCAAGTCACTTCACCTCTCTGAGCCTATTCCGCTACTCACCTTTTGAAGGCTCCAACCCCCCTAGACAAAGCAGATGAAAGAGGACTAAGGGAGTTGAGCACCTAACTCCCTTAAGCGCCTTTAAAAATCTCCCTCTTAGGTTATAAACTTTGCGTCAGTTTTGCTATGAGTCTAGATAATGCCTAGCACAGTGAGAGGCCCCAGCTCAGCTGGGGGCTGTACGTGTTCTTGTAATACAAATATTAAGTAGTAATTAGAATGTCAGCAGTTATAACCCAGTAGTATCTGTGATACCGCTGTTTCCCATGTACTTAGAATGGGAAATAACCACAGTAACATTGAGACAATTCATCCCCAAAAGCACTGTAATCCTAGGACTTCAAAATGCTGATTTCCCATGCGTCTCTCTCCTGACCCTCCAAACCTAATCTCAGATTGTCTCGTTTCAGGGAATGCACTTTCTGTGCGACACCATCACAGAGTGTTGGGACCATGACCCCGAGGCTCGCCTTACAGCCCATTGTGTGGCAGAGCGGTTCAATCTGATGGCACAAATGGACTGTGATGACATCCTCAACAACAATACAGACAATGAAGGCAGCAAAACAGCCCGTCTAAGTGGGGAACATCAAGCCAGTGACGGGAACAGAAATACCCAGTGACAGGAAGAAACGAAAGCCTCATATCAAAAAGAAACAAGGAGATTAAAGACAAACACGTGGCTCTAAATAAATAAATAAATAAACCACCTCAATTCATTTTCCTAAAATGATCTAAGAGCTAGTTTATAACTTATTTATCGGACCTTTCATCCCGTAAGTACAAAGCAAAGGGGGAGGGATAGCTCAGTGGTTTGAGCATTGGTCTGCTAAACCCAGAGTTGTGAGTTCAATCCTTTAGGGGGCCATTATAGGGATGTGGGGCAAAAATCTGTCTGGGGATTGGTCCTGCTTTGAGCAGGGGGTTGGACTAGATGACCTCCTGAGGTCCCTTCCAACCCTGATATTCTATGATTCAAAGAGCCCTGGGATCAATACTTTGGTTAAAGTGCCACATTGTATAGATATTGATTATTTTGTACTTAAGTGTACAATGTTAATACATTTTCTTTAGTATTTTAAAATGAATGTTTAACCTTTATTAATAAGCACCTGGATTCCACCTCTACTCCTTTCAGTTTAGTTCTTTTCATGTTCATTCTTGCACCACTGAGCTTTACCCCTAATTTTCTAGCCTATAAACCTCAGATGTTAGACAGAAGCTCATTAAAACAGGCATTGTCTCTGATTAACCATTCAGAGATCAGCCAGCCCTTTTCATAGTGCAATGAGACACCTGAAATTAGATTAGCAAAAGCCTGACTGGCTTTAACACCAACACAGCTTTTCGCAATGTATAATGCCTGGGAATGCTTGACTTTTTCAGCTGCGTGTTAAGAGTACAAAAGTACTTGGCTAAAAAAAGAACATGGCCAGTTCAGAGAATGTGGTTCCACTCTAAACAGCACTTATGTGGAATATCAGCTAAGTATTAATTTCAAGTCCCATGTCTCCTGACTCCCAGCTATCTTCTAAATCAAACTAATGAGGATATATTGTAACAGCACATGCACTTTAACAGTGATATTGGCAAGATGACAGGGAAGGTCTAGTTCATCGCATAGATCGTTTCCATCTCCACCTTCTGTGATCTAAGGGTCAAGTGGCAAATGATATCAAGGTTAGGTGGGGCCTGGACCTTCCTTTCCAATTACAGCAGTTGGGCTCCTCCCCTCTACTGGAAAGGCTCTTAGCTGAATGGCAGAAGATAAGGTAAGTCACACCCCACTTCCAACCTCTTCACATTGATCCAAACCCTGCTCCACTCCCTCTCACACACTCCCATGCCCAGCTAGGACTGAAAGACAATGAGAAGAGTGTGGCTCTGCTCTGCAAGAAAGCCTACAAGCTCCTGCATGATAAAGTCATCTCCACAAAGGCAGTGTATGTGGTTGCATTCGGAGGGGCACGTTGCCCGTAAGTCTGCAACTGCATGGATCTACCGTACAGGTAAGGGGAAGGGTGGGAGAGAGAAGCACAATGGCTGTGCAGGATTTTGCAATCTTTGATATTGGGAGGGATTCCGTATAAAGACTCCTGACTCTGGATTTGCAGTGGATGGCTTCAGTGGAGTGTGACCCAATTTAAAACTGCTCCTCCTCCTAGATCCTCCCAGCTGTGTTTCCATCTCTCTCTCTCTCTCTCAGGTTGTTACATGGGGCAGAGAGAGAGACTGCGTGAGTATAGATGTGGGTGTTACAGAAGCATCAATTCTAGGGAATGTTTTTTATTGAAAAGGTTTGCTAGGTATTCTGGTAGGCACCTATTTTAAACCTCCATCTCATAGCCCCTGGCCAGACACTGTGCTTCAATCCTCTCCCCTGACTGCTCTCTACCTCCTCCTCCTCCTGCTTGGGACTTGGGACTTTTTTTTCAAGCAGCTCTATGCACTTGGACCAGCTTCTCTTCTCCCATTTACCAGGAGCATCCTCCCTTTCCCCCAGCCAACCCCTCACCTCACTTCTTTCAGCCACTAATCACAACTATGATGTAACCCACTTCCTCTCTTACCACCAATTATACAGAGAGAGCAAGATAGCCATCTACAGCGTACGCATAGGAAAGAAAAGGTGAAACTGCCACTCCCACATTTAAGGGCTGCAGGTGGCTAACGTGATTTCTGCACTAGGTTTTGCAGCACCAAGTCTGAAATTGACACTATGCTGAAGAAACAGTGCGACTCACGAATAAGTATAAATTTAAGATGCTTCCAAAGGCATCCTGAATGCTCTCTCACAAGGGGAGCTGTATCCACCAAAGTGTGGGGGGAAGGAGAACATTGTAACCAGGAGTAAAGCCTACTTATCATATCCTAGGGTCGAAGTCCAATTCCTTTGAAAAGGGAGTACACGTAGCCTGTGGGCGACACTGTAAGGAGCACCTTGGGGGGAGGGGGGAGAATTTTGCCTGAAAACAGGAACTCTGCTATTTTTATGCCACATTGTTTTCAAGAAAACAAACAGGAAAGAAAGACGTGAAACCAAAGTTTTCAAGCTTCGGTGCCTAAAGTCAGGCATCTGAGTAGAGTGGACTGCTCAGCACCCGGCGCTTTCACTGAGTTAATGAGCTGTGGGCACTCGGCACCTCTGAAAACAAGGTCACTTATTTAAGCGCTCAAATCCATATTTAGGCACAGAAGCAGCTTAGGAAAAGTTTTTATCAACAATCACACAATGTACGGTTTCTATATATCCGCACTTGCTTAGGGGGCATCTATTCTCCTTGGCCAATTATCTAGCGAGTTTGTACTTCTGATCAGTAAGTAGCTTTTAAAGATGACCATCCCACTGATACTTCACTGGCTACTTAAGAAAGTTGTGACTGTCACTTTCTATTTAGTCCCAATTTTCCAGGAATAGCTGGAAAGAAACAGAGGGGTAGCCGTGTTAGTCTGAATCTGTAAAAAGCAACAGAGGGTCCTGTGGCACCTTTAAGACTAACAGAAGTATTGGGAGCATAAGCTTTCATGGGTAAGAACCTCACTTCTTCAGATGCAAGACATGAAAAGACCTCCTAAGAATTTCCTCTGTTGTTCAGGTGATCATCATCCATAGCTGGAAAAGGTTTAATGTTCTGGATTTTAACACCTGTCTTAAAGCTAGTATCCTGGGTCTTGCATCTGAAGAAGTGAGGTTCTTACCCACGAAAGCTTATGCTCCCAATACTTCTGTTAGTCTAAGGGCTGGTCTATACTTACCGGGTAGTTCGACGGCTGGCAATCGAAGTTCCAGGTTCGATTTATCGCGTCTGGTCTGGACGTGATAAATCGAACCAGGAAGTGCTCGCCGTCGACTGCGGTACTCCAGCTCAACGAAAGGAGTACTGCGGAGTCGACGGGGGAGCCTGCCTGCCGCGTGTGGACCGCGTCTGAACCGCGGTAAGTTCGAAGTAAGGTATGTCGACTTCAGCTACGTTATTCACGTAGCTGAAGTTGCGTACCTTACTTCGACTTGGGGGGTTAGTGTAGACCAGGCCTTAAAGGTGCCACAGGACCCTCTGTTGCTTTTTGGAAAGAAACACTGACACATGAAAAATAGTATGTAGACACCTCTTTCTTCACCTTCAATGTCAATGGGAATTTTGCCATTGACTTAAACAAGTGCAAGATTGAGCCCCACCAGAAAGAGGGAGGAAGGAACATAGGCCCAAATCTTGCATTGGGCTGGGCCCCAACAGAGCTCTACTGTATGGAATTGTAGGATCAGAACCACAGATAGGGCTTGAAGGTTTGCTTACAAAGTAGCAACAGATACTTCCCTCCGCTGCAGGAATTACAGGGCGGAATTCTGTGTCCTCTGTTCTGCAGGAGGTCAGACCAGATGCTCGTAGCGGTCCTTTCTCATCTAATCCTCCTAAAATCCATCAACCTAGATCGAATATTGTATCTTATGATTTGACTAAGATTCTTAAAGGAGTCACTTAAAATTCATATTGTTTGAATCTGATATTCGATGGTAAGAATTATGGTAAGTGTTGATCATTTTCCATTACATCCTTTATCTGCCAAGCAGAACTGACAAACTGCTTTAACATACTGTAGCTGTAGCGGTATTGGTCCCAGGATACTAGCTTTAAGACAGGTGTTAAAATCCAGAACATTAAACCTTTTCCAGCTATGGATGATGATCACCTGAACAACAGAGGAAATTCTTAGGAGGTCTTTTCAACACCTTCAGGTTGAAGAAGTCTTGTCTTGCATATTAAAAAGACAATTCCTTTAGCAATCAATGTTGTTCCATTTGGGACTCTATCAATATTAGCTACAGTGTTATTAATCTGAAACCAGTCCGATCAGGTGGGGGAAATCTGACTAAAAACCAGAAAATCAGAAAAGCAATCAAGGTTCAGATTGAAATGTCACCTGAACTCACCCCCTTTATAAATAGGTATCCAGAGGTGGCTCCAGGTCGCATTTTTAAGTAGAGGATTGTAACTTGCTTTATCTGCATGTGCTTATTAACAGAGGACACTTTTGAAGGAGGAACTTGGTCTCCTGCTATAGCAGCTCAGGTATTTAAATTAAGATCTGCTGCGGCTGCTGCTGTTTTGAAGCCTGGATTGTGTGCTACCACCCTGGCCCTTGCAGGAATCCTGCGGCACAAAGGCTTTTTTTTAAATAGCTGTGAACTATGCATCCAATTAAGAGGAAGGTCAGTTTATTTTACTGATTTCCCCTGCCTGCAACAGCAGGTCTAGACCCCAGAACACAGGGCCAGATGAACTGCTTGACATAGTCCATGTCCACACCTTGGTGTCCTGGGTTACATGACGACCTCAAAGGGAAATCACTACCACTTGCAGCATGGGTCCTGACGTATACAAGGAGCATGCACACTCCCGCTCCAGAGCCAGGCAGGAACCCCCACTCTCCACAGTGGAGTTCCTGCTCCATCCATGGGACCTGGTTAGTAGCGTGTGAGCTGCTGCCACTCTTCAACACATGGCCACTCCCAGGCTGGGACGGCACCACCTCAGCAGAGAACCCTTTGGAGTGCTGGGTTGAGTCGAGGGGAGGGGGGGTGGTCCTCTCCAGTGCCTTCTGGTGGGATGTCCCCAGACAGCACCAAATGCTGGGGAAGGTGGTATCAGCAGGTGCCCACTCTGCTAAGTCACAGGATGGTGGTGGGGGAGTCT